AGAAGATTTAGAGGGCTAGGGAGGGAGGGAGGGGTAGTGACTAGTCCTAAGGGGTATTCGGCTTCCTGGGAAGGTGTGGGGAGTGAAGTGGCTAATTTTAGACATGTTAGTTTGTGGGTGGAGGGTGATAGAGGGGAACCAAGCAGAGCTCTCCTCTGTCTGGGAAAAGACCAAGGAAGCAGAGCTGGGTCCTGGGAAAAGGGGGTGCCTAAGGGATGGGTGAAGACAGAGGCCGGGCTAACAGGAGGCCCCCAGAATGCTAAGTAGGCAGATGTGGGGGGTGTGGGGGGACTTACAGGAGGCCCCCAAAATGCTGAGCAGGCAGATGTGGGGGACATCCAAATTGGTGAAGTGGGGGGAACAGAGGAGTGAATTCTGGACTCCCATGACATTAGTGCTGAGATGTGTCTAAAAAACGGAGGCCTTGGTTCACAGAAGGGGAAACTGAGGCCAGCCAGTTACTTGCCTGAGAATACTCCAGGGCTGGATCCGAGTAGGACCCTGGGTGCCATCTCTGCTATTCAGCCCTTTCTACTAGATCAGTGGTTTTCAGCTGGGGGCAATTTTGTCCCCCAGGAGACATTTAAAAATGTCTGGAGACAATTTGGCTGTCACAACCTGGAATTGTGGGGGATGAAGCGCTACTGGCATCTAATGGGCAGAGTCCAGGGATGCTGCTAAATATCCTACAATGCACCCACCCACCCCCCAGCAAAGAATTATCTGGCGCCAAAGGACAAAATGCCGAAGCTGACAAACTGCACTAGGGCTTAATAGGGCAGAGAGCTCAGGCTGGGGCCTCCAGCTGGATGGACCTTTGCCCCAACCCCAGCTCTGCCCCTCCCCATGCTTGCTCCTTAATTCCTGGAAGCCTCTGGAGCCCTCTCTGCTTTTCCTGTACACAGTAGTTTAGAGGTCTACCCACCAAGTGTCTGTCACCACTGTCTCCCCAGACCTGTATTCGGAGTTTGGCATTAGGTAGGGAGAAACCAAAGTGGAAATGTCCTATCTAGTACATGGCAGGTGCCTTGCAGATAAACTTGATTTGAGTGACATGTTAGGGGTCCAAGGAGTTTCATTTCATCCCATTTTCTCTTTGGCAATTCTAATTGTGTCTTACGTTTGTGACGCTCTGACATAGACTGAAAGAATCCACTGCTTCATCCGATGTCCCAGGTTGGGCAGGATGTGGCATTATCTGAGAAATGCTGTGGGGGTGGATGTCTTGTCATTCAGGCTCTTCCAAGAGTAAGCTGTGGACTGGGAACACAAAAGCAGTTCCTTTCAAACACACGAAAGGCCACAGGAATCACCTGGAGATTCCTGTGATGCAGATGCTAGGCCAAGTGCAATGGCTCACGCCTGTAGTCCCAACACTTTGGGAGGCCAAGGTGGGAGGATCACTTGAGTCTAGGAGTTTGAGACCGACATGGGCAACATAGCGAGACCCTGTCTGTACAAAAGAAATTTTAAAATTAGCCAAGTGTGGTGGTACATGCCTGTAGTCCTAGCTACTCAGGAGGCTGAGGCAGGAGGATCACTTGAGCCTGGGAGGTTGAGGCCGCAGTGAGTCATTTTGGTGCCACTGCACACCAGCCTGGGTGACAGAGTGAGACCTTGTTTAAAAAAAAAAAAAAAGAAAGAAAGAAAAAAATATGCAGATGCTGAATCAGTAGGGCTGAGTTGGGCATAAGTTTCTGTTTCTAACAAACTCCCAGGTGATGCTGATGCTGATTTTCGTTGCTGGTGCATGGACCACATTTTGAGTGCAGAGCGTTGCAGGGCTGTGCAGAAGTGACCATGGGCCATGCAGCCAACTGTCGGGTGGTTTGGAAGCATGGAGTGGAAGGAGACCATGCTCTAGAGTCAGGAGAGCCGGATATGAGTCATTACGCCCTCTCTCCCCTCCCTATATCCCTTCTATGGCCTTTCGGCTTCATAGAGCTTGAATAGTTTCCTCATCTATAAAGTCACTTAACCTTGGGTAAGTCACTTAGCTTCTTTGCTAAGTGGTCTTGCATGGCAGGCTGTCCTCCAGGGGTTCTGACCCAGGGTCTGAGAGAAGAAAGTGCCCTGTGGAGGTGGGACAGTCTGGGTCTTGGCAGACAGAGGGGCAGCAGGCCACTGGCCTGGCCAGGAGGGCAGGGGTGATCACCTGAAGCTGCTGGGGCAGGCACTGTGCCAGCTTGGAGGAGGCTGTCATCATAGCCCTGGTTTTTCTCTGAGGCCACCTCAGCCTCCTGCTTTGGGCTTACCCAGCCCTGCCTGGTGTGGGAAAGCTGGAGAGACCGGTCTGGCTGGGGGAAGGAGCAGCTTCAGTGGGCTGGGGCCAGCCCAAGGCCTGATTGTGGATCTGAGCGCCTAGCCAGCTGAGCCCTGGTCTGAGGAGCTGGGGTTTGGGCTGAAGTTGGGGTCTGAGAACGATAGCCTGGACACCTTGGGGTCAGGCTGTGCATCGACAGGCTTTCCACCAGGGAAACTGGAAAGGAATTTGTAGTTTGGGGTCCCCAGCTATAGGGGATACTCTACCTTGAGCATCTGACCCCAGGGATGGGGCTGAACAGAGCCTTGAGTACCTGGGGTGCTCCCACCCCTGGTCCCCCATAAGTCAGCTACAATTGCCCAGCAAGACACCTTCCAACTCACAGGACCAGGAGACAGCAAGACAACTGAGCCCATTTCTCAGATGGAAAAGTGGAGGCTCCTTCCTTCCCACTTCCTGGGAAAAGAAGAGCACTCATTAGCACAGTCACCCATTATCCAGCAGGGCCCTGGGGCTGCTATCTAATGAGGCTGCCCCCTCTTCCCACCCCTTCCTGTTTTCACAGTTGGACCATCCCAGTGGAACCACACAAACCTGGGTTCAGATCTCAGGTTCCCTCCTTCATAGTTACGAGGCTCTGGGCAGCTCACTCCACCTCTCTGAGCCTCTGCTGGCTCATCTGTAAACAGGAATAATGACACCCGTTCAGCCAGCCCCACAGGGTTGTTGTGAAGATGAAATGAGCCATACCCACGGAACACTGTGGTCATTATCATTAGTCATGGCATTTAGAAGCACGAGGCAACCGGGTATTGTCTTACCTTGTGCCCTATTTTACAGATGTGGAGATCGACACTTAGAGAAGGGAGTCGGCTGCCCAAGGGTCCCTTAGCAGGGCAGTAGGCAAGCTGGGGTTAGACCCACGCCTACGGGTGCACCGCCCATCGTACAGCTGCTGCCATCTGTGCTGCCATCTGTGTCACTCCAAGGCGTGACACAAATGTAAACTTCGGGGTCTGGGTGGTCAGGCTGCAGGAGCTTCTTGTGGAGGATCTGGAGCAGACCTTTGTGCAAGCCAGTGCCCTTCTTTGCCAGCACCAGCCATGAACTACGTCGGGCAGCTGGCGGAGACGGTGTTTGGGACGGTGAAGGAGCTGTACCGGGGCCTGAACCCAGCCACGCTGAGCGGCGGCATTGACGTGCTGGTGGTGAAGCAGGTGGACGGCTCGTTCCGGTGCTCACCCTTCCACGTGCGTTTTGGCAAGCTGGGCGTCCTGCGGTCACGGGAGAAGGTGGTGAGTGCTCAGGCTGGCTGAGGTGGCCACTGCAGGGTGGGCTTTTTAAGCCGGGGCAGTCACTACAGTCCCAGGACAGGACCTGGGGCCTCCCTTAGGTGGGGATCTGTTCTCTTGACAGGCTTCCCTTGGTTTGTACTTTCTTTGAAGGTTTTTGGGTTGATTTGGGGGTTTTGATCTGGGAGGGTTCACAGTTAGTTTCTCATGGAAACAGACGAGTAGGTCTCATCCCGGTGCTGGGGCCGTCAGACCTGGCTCAGCTTACTAAGACCTTACCTGTGTGTTCTTGGTAAGTCACTTCATGTCTCTGAGCCCAGTTACTTCACCTGCACAAATGTATATGATTTTATCTGCCTAATGATGCTGGTGGGACAAGTCAATAGCAACTGATAATACTGTCCCAGGACCAGCTATGCGGCTCAAAGGTTAGTTTCTCTCTCTTCATAAACCCACTTCAGGCTGGGCATGGTGGTTCACACCTGTAATCCCAGCACTTTGGGAGGCCAGAGCAGGTGGATCACCTGAGGTCAGGAGTTTGAGACCAGCCTGGTCCACATGGTGAAACCCAGTCTCTACTAAAAATACAAAAATTAGCCGGGTGTGGTGGTGGGCTCCTGTAATCCCAGCCACTCAGGAGGCCGAGGCAGGAGAATTGCTTGAATCCGGGAGGCAGAGATTGCGGTGAACCAAGATTACACCATTGCACTCTAGCCCAGGCAACAAGAGCGAAACTCCGTCTCAAAAAATATAATAAATAAATAAAATAAAAATAAATAAATAAATCCATTCCACCTTCACTGGGCTCAGGCAAGCACAGCAGAGATTTTTGTTAGCAGCAAAGTCTAGGGTGTGAATCAAGATTCACACTGAGGCAACTGTGACGTTTCCAGGATCCTAATAGAAAAGTGTAGCCTACAGGAAACAGAATATCTAAGAAGCTAGTAGCTTGGGTTGTACACTCAGCCTTTGTGGGTTCATAGGCTTGCTTGCTGTGAGTCTGCCTCCTGGCGAATTACTTAAACCTCCAAAACCTCAGTTTCCTTGTCTATAAAGTGGAGGTAATGATAGGAGCTACTGCAAGGGGTTGCAAAGATTAAATGAGATAATCTATAGAAGACACTCCACAAAGGGCCAGTACACTGAAATTCCCGCCATTGTTCACGCAGCCGATAACCTGGGGGCTGGGGACACAGAGATCACAAGAGAGATCACGTCCCTATTCCTGTGGATGTGAGAGAGGGAAGAACTTGGAAACCAGGCAATACACAAGGAGACCGAGACAGTGATAAGTGCAATGAAGCTCAGACAGTGGGGCAGTATGAGTGAGGGAGAGATGGGTAGGGAGCTCAGCAAAGGCCTCTCTGAGGAAGGGGAGATGCAGCAGAGCCCCCCATCGTCGGGAGCAAAGAGCCACCGGAGGACCAGCCGGGAGACCTGTGGTTGGAAGCATGGGTGTGAGGGCCCATGTGCCTGCCACCACTCTCCATTTGCAGGTAGACATTGAGATCAATGGGGAGCCTGTGGACTTGCACATGAAGCTCGGTGACAGCGGGGAGGCCTTCTTCGTTCAGGAGCTGGAGAGCGATGAGGTGAGTGCTGTCCTCCTGACAGCACCTGCCCCTCCCAACAGCACCTGCCCCTCCCACCCCTTTCCTGTGCCTCCTCTGGGTGGAGCCTTGGGATTTGTCACCATCCTCGCCCATCCCTGGGAGCACCCCACCAGCGGAGGTCTGAGGCAGGGGTGTCAGTTGGGGCTGGCCTCTGGCACACATGATATGCTGTGGGGGCCTGGAGGAAAGGGCCAGGGTACCAGCTAACTCTACTTACTGGGAAGTTGGGGAAGGTTTCTCAGAAGACTGGACCCCTGAGCTGGGCCCCTGGGGATGAAAAGGAGGCCTTCCCCGGGCAGCTTGGAGAGGAGGCGGGAGCTGAAGAAGGGGGCTGGAAAGTATAACATCTGGCTTGTCTCAGGTCTGGTGCCAGCTCTGTGCAGCTGGAACCTAGAATTGTGTAAGTGGTGGGTGTTCACACAGGGGAGGCAGGGCCCAGCAGAAGCCAATAGAGGAGTTGAAACTGAACTTGAAAAACTTTGAGTCCCTACTGTGTGCCAGACACTGTGCAATAGACTCAGATGACGGGTGACCCCTGCCTTCAAAGAAAGTTACAGACTGGTCTGGGGAGCTAGACACGTAAACAATGGATGATGAACTGTTTGGTCATTGCAGTGAGGGATGTTGGAACTGGGAGAGGGATAGCCAAGGCTCCTTCCTGGGGGAGGAGACATCTGGCTGAATCTTAAAGCAGAAGTAGATGCCTGCTGTCATAGACTTGGGTAAAAGAGAAGATCAGAGGCTGATGCCAAGATCTCTGCCTGGCCTGCCATGGTGGCAGGTGGCTCTGTTGGGGAGCTCTGAGGCCAGTAGTGGCTATGGGGCCAGGCTGGTGCCTCCACACCTGTTTTCCTGACCCTAAATGAGCTCAGTCCAGGACTGGGACCCAGGCAAGGCTCAAGATGACTGTGTGGTGAGGGCAGTCCCACTAGGGTCAGCCCCCAGCTCAGTTCTTGATCTGTTCCACAGGAACACGTGCCTCCCGGCCTGTGCACCTCACCCATCCCTTGGGGGGGTCTGTCTGGCTTCCCCTCAGACTCCCAGGTGGGCAATGCCAGTGAGCCTGAGGGCCTCGTCATGGCAGGCACGGCCTCCATTGGGCGGAGGAAGAGGCGTCGCAGGAGGAAGCCCAAGCAGAAGGAGGATGCAGTGGCAACTGATTCTAGTTTGGAGGAACTGGAGGCAGGCGCTGAGAGTGAGCTGTCCCTGCCGGAAAAGCCGAGGCCAGAGCCCCCAGGGTGTGTAAGGATCAAGGGACTTGAACCCCAGTTTGGGGGTTCAAGTGCTGTTTCCTCTGCTCATGCTGTGTGACTTTGGGCAAGGGCCTTGACCTCTCTGAGCAGTAGCTGCTTCACCTTACCAAGCCCCTGATGTCCAGGCTCTCATGCCTGCCTGGGGCATCCTGCCCGATCAGTGACCATTTCCTTGTGGCCCCTCAGCAGTGTCCAGTTGGAAGAGAAGTCTTCACCGCAGCCCAAAGACATCTACCCCTACTCGGATGGCGAGTGGTCCCCCCAGGCCAGGTGAGAGTCCAAGTGGGCTGCATACTGGGACTCCAGATCACGGTCTGAGGTTTCCATTTGCATTTTTCCTGATGACTAATGACACAGAACCCATTTAATATGTTTACCGGCCATTCATATTTTTCCTTTGTAAAGAGTTCAAGTCTTTTATTGATTTTTTAAATTGCAGTAAAATATACATAACATAAATTTACCATTTTAACTATTTCAAAGTATATACAATTCGGTGGCATTAAGTACATTCATAGTGTTGAATGATCATCACGACTACCTAGTTCCAGAACATTCCATCCCCCAAATGGAAACCCTATGCCCATTAGGCAATCCAGTTACAACTTTGCCATCTTTTTTTTTTTCCTTCTTTCCCTTTCTCCCTCCCTTCCTTCCTTCCTTCCTCCCTCCCTCCCTCCCTCCCTCCCATCCTTCTTTTATTTCTCCCTCTTTTTCCTTCCTTCCTTCCTTCCTTCCTTCCTTCCTTCCTTCCTTCCTTCCTTCCTCCCTCCCTCCCTCCCTCCCTCCCATCCTTCTTCTTACTGGATTGTCTTCTTATTGTTGATTAGCATAAGTTATTCATATATTTATATACTCTTTAGATCTTTACATATTCTTTATACATTCTGGATTCAACACAGGCATAAATATAGTTTGCACATATTTTTTTCCCTGGCTAGGGTGGGCAGCAGCGGGGATGGGTAGTCAGGCTCAGGGCCTCTGGATATGTCTCCTGCAGCCTCTCAGCAGGTGAGCTAACATCCCCTAAGAGCGACTCGGAGCTGGAGGTGCGGACCCCGGAGCCCAGTTCCCTGAGAGCCGAGTCCCACATGCAGTGGGCCTGGGGGAGGCTGCCTAAGGTGAGTCCCTCTGTATCAACCCCAGGCCCTGCCTTTCAGGGGCTCCGTGGCCCCCTTGGATCAGGGTTGGAGGGACTGAAACTCGGGCCACTGCCCCCAAAGCTTTGTGAGGCGTGGGAGGCAGGCCTTGCCCTGGCCCACATCTTCCTCCATTTGTTCCACTGAAGGTGGCCAGAGCTGAGCGGCCCGAGTCCTCAATGGTCCTTGAAGGCAGAGCTGAGGCAACCTCTCCTCCTCGGGGAGGACCCAGCACTCCCTCTACCTCTGTGGCTGGCAGCGTGGACCCTTCGGGACCCCTAATCCAGCAAACAGAGGCTGGTGCCGACCTTCATCCTGACACAGAGGATCCCACTCTAGTGGGTCCCCCTCTCCACACCCCAGAGACAGAGGAAACCAACACTCAGAGCTCTGGGGACATGGGCCTCCCTCCTGCCTCCAAGTCATGGAGCTGGGCCACTCTGGAGGGTCCAGTTCCCACTGGGCAGCCACAGAGGGTCTCCAGGGGGAAAGGTGAGTAATGCTGGGACTCTCCCACTGCCTCCCTGGCCTCGCCCTGTCCCCTGGGTGGGTGCTGGTACATTTTGAGCAACTGCTGTGTGCCAGGTGCTGTTCTTGGCACCAGCCTCATGAGGCTCACAGTGCAGTGTGGGAGACAGATGCTGTGTGTGTGGAAGGGCGTGCCATGGGCATAGTCATTGGTTGGAATGGGAGCTGTTTAAACCAGGTGGTCAGAGAAGGCCCCTCCGAGAAGGTGATGTCGGAGCTGAGACATGGATAATGAAGATTCAGCCAAGCGAGGAGCAGGGGAAGGAAATTCTAAGCAGAGGAAACAGTATGTGCCCGGGCTGTAGGGCTGGAGAGAAGTTTCATGTCCAGAAACTGAAGGCAGCTGGCATGCCTTGAGCAAGAAGTAGAAGACCATGGGGATAGGAAGTCGGGGAGATGAGCAGACTCAGATGGCTCCAGCTCACAAGCTCAGGTTTATCTCAGAGCGCTAGGAAAGCACGAGACCTGTGCTGTGCAAATCAGTAGCCATTGGCTGTATGTGGCCATTTAAAATCAAATTAGGGCTAGCGTGGTGGCTCATGCCTGTAATCCCAGCACTTTGGGAGGCCGAGGTGTGAAGACTGCTTGAGGAGTTCAAGATAAAGCCTGGGCAATGTAGTGAGAAAAAAATTTTTTTTTTTTTTAAACTAGCCAGGCATGGTGTCATGTGCCTGTAGTCCCAGCTACTGAGGAGGCTGAGGCAAGAGGGTCACCTGAGCCCAGGAGTTTGAGGCTGCAGTGAGCTATGATCACACCACTGTACTCCAGTCTCAGCTCACTGCAAACTCTACCTCCCGGGTTCAAGCAATTCTCCTTCCTCAGCCCCCTGAGTAGCTGGGACTACAGGCATATATCACCACGCACAGCTAATTTTTATTATTTTTAGTAGAGACAGGTTTCACCATGTTGGCCAGGATGGCCTCGATCCCCTGACCTCGTGATCCACCTGCCTCAGCTTCCCAAAGTGCTGGGATTACAGGCATGAGCCATCACGCCCGGCCTAGAATTCCATTTCTCTGTCACACTGTGATCACATTTTAAGTGTGCTCAATAACCACATGTGACTAGCAGCTAATATATCAGACATGGGACATTTGTATCACTGCAGAAGGTTCTGCTGGGTGGCGCTTCCTTAGAGAATTCAAAGTCAGAGGGCACTTACTGCCCACACCGCTGAGCACATGTCAGCTCCACAGACATCCTCTCTTCAACCCTCAGGCTCCCCAAAGAGAAGCCAGCACCTGGGCCCCAGTGACATCTACCTGGATGACTTGCCCTCCCTGGACTCTGAGAATGCAGCACTTTACTTCCCCCAGAGGTGCCTGGGTTCTGGATGCCAGGGTGTCGTGGGTCTGGGCACCTGGGGCCAAGGGTCCAGGCTTTCAAGGGCTATCAAAGGCATGGGAGGAGAGAGGACCCATCTCCCACCCTCCTCGTATTCTTGTCATTGTTGGCCCCTTTGCCCGCAGTGACTCTGGGCTGGGGGCCAGAAGATGGAGTGAACCCAGCAGTCAGAAGTCCCTGAGGGACCCCAACCCTGAACATGAACCTGAACCCACTCTGGACACAGTAGATACAATAGCACTGTCCCTCTGTGGTGGACTGGCTGACAGCCGGGACATCTCCTTAGGTATGTTCGACTATGGCCCAAGCACTTTCGAGGACTGGTGCTGAGCCCAGAGGATGGCGAGGGCAGGGAAGACCGCGAGGGTGGGGCAGCAGAGGTGGGAGGCTGGGCTTCCCTGCAGCTCTCTGCCCTGTGCAGCCCACACTCCACCAGCAGGGGCTGGACCTTCCCAAGTCCTCATGAAACAAATGCTTGACACTAAGTTGTGAGTTATCCTGTGAATCCTGGGGTGGGAACAGGTGTAAAACCCACAGGCAGGGAGGAGTACTGCCAGGTTACAGAGCCAACCAACAGGAGGTGAACAGCAGAGTGGGGAACACCA